TCGAAAAGTAGTTTCACACAAAACATATTATCATCATGCGAAACTGTATATCTGTAACTGTATCACATAATGACTATTCACCACATAACTTCTCTCAGGTTTCATGTCATTCGCAGTAATGTGGATCATGTTCTAGAAGAAAAAGAATAGAACGGAACCTATTTTGTGCATGCCTAATATGATATCGGAACTTTCTGTTTTTTAATATTACTTTCCATTAGATATGTAGCATACTAGAATACAGTAGCTAAAAAAAATTAATCATACAGTAAGTAAGTTTTCCCCTTGTACCAGTTTCATTTCAACGGAGAGAAATGACAAAAATTTTGATTGCCTGACCGAATAGAAGGACATCTAAATCGCATTCTCTGTTAATGTCCGGTTTCCACCTATGGATTTAGACACTCCTTTAAATCTGGTCAGTTTTTCAAAACAAAAAATTATTCATACGATAAATTTCTCTCGTGCTGAACTGTACTTAAAATCCAAACGGCGGCGGAACTTTTGGGAAATGTTACAGAACAAACATTTCGCATTAGAATTAAAAGGTATTCTGAGAATTAATTCAAGTTTTTAAATTTATATTAAAAGTTTCATGAACAAAATTACAAAAAATTTTTAATTTATCTCAAGGGTAAGTGCTAAACTTCAAATATGTCATCTGAAAGAGCGTGCAAAACTGCATGCACCTGCAGTATGTTTTTGAAAATGGATGGCAAGGAACGTTGTTCAAAGACGGATTTCTAAAAACGTTGAGATTTTGCAAGCCGCAATAGATTAGAAGCATCCAGCTAGGTCCTCAGAGCCGAAATACATCTTCAGTAATCTGTGACGCTAAAAAATTAGTGGAATCTTCACTAGATTCTGTAGAAAACGGTTGTGAGCAAACGAATCTTAAGTCAGGTATGACGCATATATCGCTGTTACTAGAAAAAGAGGAACCTGACGAAAAATTTATATGAAGAGAAAAGTCAGAAAAAAAGCAAATGTGGAAAATAGTTTGTATGTATGTTTGTAACAAAATATGTCCAGAAAAATCAGGAGTATCAGTAGTGAAAAACTGAAGTCTCAGAGACGAAGTTTTTCTATACTTTTGCCTTCTATATAATTCTACTAATTTTTCCAAGGTGGTTATTGCAAGTAAATCTGTTTTCTAAAGGCATAAATATCGAATTTTACCATTTTCAGCTATTTATAGACTAACTACGAGACTCGAGATCCCTTTCTGATGAAGCTAAGTTAGTCCAAGAGTTTTAGAAGAAAAATTAGTAGAATTATAGAGAAGGCAAAAGTATAGAAAAACTTCTTCCAACTTAGTCCATGTATTTGTATGGGCGTGTTCTATTTAGGAATAGAAAGTCCACGTCGTGCTCTAATTTGGAACGGGAAAAAGTTGAAGACGAATATACTCGCAATAATCCCACAATAAGTGCACGAAAAAGTGATCTTTTTCCGTGAAAAGTTATATGGTTCGATTCGACAGACTCTTCTGAGTATTTCTATATAAAATTTTGAAGGTTTCATTGAACTTTGTAAGCAAAAAAAACGTTTTTCTTCAACTTGACTGAAAATCTCCATGCATTTGTATGGACGTGCTTGCAAACTTGAAATCTTTCAATCATTAGAAAATCTTTGTCATCAGTTCGAACAAATTAATAATTTCGATGAATTAATCGATCAACTTGTTATTGAACCAAGTCAATTAATAAAATTAAGTAAATGTTTTATTAAAGATAAAAATTATGACAAAGCATGTCAACTTTTACAAACAGTTATTAATAATGAACCAATGTTTTGTCATGCAGCTTGAGGGTGAGGGTGATTATTCAAATGATCTTCATTGATATCCACTCGTTCGTTTTGACATTCACTAGCTCTGTCTTTTAAGATTTCAATTTTATCATCAAGAAATTTTGTTGTTGTACGATCAATCTCAATCATAGTTTTAATGTATGGAGCAAGTTTCATAATCGGAGCAAGTATACTTGTCAATAATGTAAATATTTTTGTTGAATTATTCGACGGATTAGCATAATTATTTTTCTTCAAAGCATTACTAATCTCATTGGATACAATTCGAGCAATAGTTTTGAAATATTCCAATGCTTTTTGATACCGTAGCTTGGCATTATGTGATTGACTAATATCTTCTAAGAATTTTCGTGTCAAATCTAATCCATGCATTCGAGCAATTTGTTGGATAAATTGATGAATATCTTGTTTTTTCTCTTCGATTGATTGTCTTATGTTAATAAATAATTCATCAACAATTCGACCACAATGATGTTTTAAAATTTTCTCTGAGAGATACGATATTCCCGCATTGGTTGCTCCAAATGCTAAACCTTCAACTAATTTTTTTCCAACACGACACCAAACTTGTTTATGAATGTTAATTGTCACATTTTTCATACTATTCTGACCGACTTGTTTTAATAAACTCTTTCCATTAAGTCGAGATAAATATTGATTATTACCGAAAATTTTCGATCCAAAACGAGAATATCGAATACCATGCGAAATAACTGCTGATACACCTAATGTTGCAACTGTAATTGATACACTTCGTATTTTATTTACGAAATAATCATTCCAATTGAAATAACCATTTTTCATAGCTAAACTTGCATAAATTATATCATTCAAACCTTCAGATATTACACCAGCTGCTATATGTGTACCTAAACCAGCTGTATACACTTCAACATAAACGCCTCCGATTATTTCAAGACAACCAAATAGAAGCATAGTTCCACTACTTAACCACATATTCCAAGTCCATTTTTTCTCTTCAATATTCCTAAGATGATCTAAACCATTGATTCGAAATATATCGAATTCTTGAATATATTCAAATTGTTCATTGCTATTGAAATTTTCTTTGAAATTATTTAAATGAAAATTTTCTTTGGATAAATAATGTAATTTTCCAATTGTATTTTCCAATGATTTGGCAACACTTTTTGCAATCTTTTTATCAATATGACATATTTGTTTAATTATTTTTTCTAATTTTTCTGAATAATCTTTTGTTAAAATACTGTCAGATAACGAAACATCAATGCAACTAGCATTATAATAAACTGGTTTGATAATGAATGCTGTTTCTAAATCATATAAAAGATTTTTATGTAAATCATATGATAATGTTAAATTATTCATAGAATTTTCTTGAGAATCAATTTGATTTAATAGATCAAGAATTTGGCTTTGATATAAACATTGATATTTAAGAATTGCTATTATACGTTGATTATAAATTTCATATTTCGAAAATTGTATTGTTTGTAAATTATTTCTAAGAAGTTTTCCTGTTTGTTGATCGATCAGATTTTGTTGAACAAGTTGATTGTAGATTTCATTCGATTCCATTCGATTTAAACCTTTGATTTGCATGAAATCATTTGGTGAAATTGATTGAAATTTTTCTATTGATACTCGTCGTTGATCAATATTAATTTTTGCAATTTTACTTAGTAGAATAAAATTTTGTTCTTCTGATATTTGATATTGTTTATCGAGAGGTCCTTTTAAATATTGAACATTTTCTGTACTAAATTTCATATTATGAAAAAATAGAATTGATTGATTGTTTGATAACAATTGCTCAATGGATTGAAACTGACTTTGATTTAAACGAATAAATTCTTGGAATTTATCATTTGTTTCTTCATTGATTTGATTTCGATTAACAGTAATCACATCTCTGACATCTCGAATGATTTGTTTTTCAATCATTAATTGTCAAAACTGATCACGATTTGGCATTTGCACATGATCAAGATATTTTTTCAAATTCATTGCATCGACATATTTGATTTGTGATAGATATCCTTGAAATCCATCGTAATTTAAGTGATAATCCATACAAATCTTTTTCAATTGATTTTCATTAAAATTTCTATTGAGTTGTTTTCGAATGAAAATCTTTTCATCAGAAATAAGCATTTGTTTATAAATTGACATAGCTAATTCTTCATCGATATCAATATTTACAAATGTATTCGATGTTATTGAATGACCACGCATATCATGAATCGAACGAATAAAACGCGAATATAAATTACAAAGATTTTCATTTTGTTTTCGATCAGAATCAATTTTAAGAAATGATTTATTTAATGAATTAAGATTAGTTAAAATTTGAATTACGTGCTATTAACATATCAATATGATAGTTGAATAGATATTTAGCATGATCTAATACACGATGAAATTCAATTTTCTCTTCAGTTTTTACTAATTGGGTCTATTTAATAAGACAACGTGCTTTGTAATAATAAGTGGTTCATTATTAATAACTGTTTGTAAAAGTTGACATGCTTTGTCATAATTTTTATCTTTAATAAAACATTTACTTTATCGACCTAGGGAACCTCTCGAGGTGATTAAAAGCTTTTCGACTCAGACTATTTTCATCGTGTAGGGAATAAACAGCAGTGAAAAAACCCAAATTGGTTTGGGCCCATGCGCCTTGTTGACGGAGATATGAGTTAATTAATGAAAAT